GCGATCTTGAGGCAATCGACGCAGAAACGAGCGTAGAGATTGGTATGAACAGCCCGACCCATACCTTCAATCACGATCAGATCAACCTATTCAGGAGGGGATTGAAATGAAAATAGTAAACAAAGTTTTAATCATTTGCGGAGTCATTCATCATTGCATGGTAAACCTTTTTTGATGAAAAAATATTTTCCCGTTTATTATTTTAATCATAACACCGACGTGGCCACTTAATTTACGAGCAAATTGACAGCATTCAATGAATCTGATAATGTCTAAAGGTGGCTATTTCTGAAAAGTGATTATACCCACAACAGCGCTCAGACGTTGTCTTTTAAGGAGTAATTGAGGAGTTGTAAATTAAAGTAAAATGGCAATAAGTGTTGTCAAAAACTTTCATTTGAATGGGAAGAGGGAGAAGTTACCAATTTATCAGCACACAATTGGTCATTCAACTGAAGGAATGCACACCTACGGATATCGAACCGGAGACCTCTGGATTCTCAAACGAACACATTAACCACCGAACCGTAAAAGGCTTTGACAAAAAAATCAAGTAGATACTAAACGACAATAGTTCCGACAGATTGGAACTCCGAAATTCGCTTCTTCTCCAACTGTACCACAATCAGGTCCGGATTGAAGTTCAAATCTTGCCAGGCAACTCTATCATTCTAAGCACCCTCATCAAATGAGCTAATGCTCTAGCTATTTAAGTTACAAACGCGCTTACCTTCTCCTGTTTGGCAAGTTGAACAAGACGATGCGAAGTCTGTCGAAGATCCAGACACGGCGAGCTTTGTCCATTGTCCACACACATCAGTATTCCACTGTCCAATGCTTTTCTCAACCTTGGTTCAAGTCCAGCCACCTCATTCAACAGGAAGAGAAGCTCACGATAGGTCACATCGTTGATTGCAGGAACTGGAGGCACAACACAACAATGCCGTCGTAACTCAATTACTCACTTCAATTAAAGCTATGCTCATACTGTGCTCATACCGGAATTGGCTGTAAGAATGACCTTACTGCCCCAACTCAGACATTCCACTACGAATGGTAGGACTCCTAGGATGAGGTCAGCGCCGCTATTATCACAGAAGATGATTACACACTTTGGTCGGTTTTCAGGCATCCTGATCCGATCCAACCATCGCGCGAAGTCATCTACCAACCAAGGTCGGGGCTTCAAGGTCAAAAAAGAGCAAACTTTATTAAAAAAAACAACGACAGCAACAGCAACAACGAAAAAAAACACCAACTATTCACACATACATAAATCAGTCTATTCGTGATTTTCTCAATTATTTTTTTGTAAACATGAAAAAGAAAATAGTAGGGAGATGACCACAAAAAGAAAACAGCAAACACAAAAAGGGGTATTGCAGAAAGACGGGGAGAAAAATTTCGGAGTTATTATTATTATTATTATTTGTTAATTTGCGACTCACCTCTTGTGCATTAGAAATTCTAGCCTGAAACAGGAAGAAGTAACGGATATGGAAGAATATTCGCAACCGATTAACAGGCTTTCAATTTAAGTGAATGTTGCTAGCGTTCAAGCGCTAGGGCGAGAAATTTTCGCACATTCGCCAGAACCAGACGGCGAGTATTAGGTGTGTCAAGGGTCGATGTGGGTGCATATCAATGATGTTAAGGTCAATAGAGGAAGAAGAACAACTACTACCACCAAAAATCGATATGCGAACAGAGGGAAGCTACACAGATAGG